GCCCAGCTTAAACTCCAGACCCAGCACGCCGACAATCCCTTACAGGACCCTTGTAGGGGCCCATCTAGGAACCATTAAAGGAAACTCGAAAGGACCCAACCAAAAACCCCGCAAGCCGACAAAGTCAGCATGACGGTTCTTATTTGCAGTACCAGTACTGTTAGTTACTGCGTTGGCACCATTGTCATTATTTGTTATTGTCATATATTAGCGCTGTTACTGTTATCGTTCGTATTATTACGGTGACGTCACCGTACTGTTTTGAGGTTTAGTAGTCTTAGTAGTAGTAGTAGTAGTAGTAGTAGTAGTAGCAGCAGCAGCAGCAGCAGCGGCGGCAGCAGTAGTATGATTAGCATTGTTATTGCTATTGGTGTTGCTATGGGTGATGATTACGACAACTCTAAGTAGCGTTAGCCAAGGCCTGGAGCAACTCCGATGGGCGAAGAGGCGGCCTGAATCGTCAGAGTAGATTGCTTAGGCTTCGAGGTTTAGGGATAGCTAGGGTTCAGTGTAGGGTTTTGACAGGATTTACAGTAGGGTTCAGGGTTGTTAGCAATTTCCTGACCTTTCCCTGCCGACTCTCCAAGCCCGGATGCAAAAAAGGGTTGTTAGGGAACGATTCTAGCGGCCTGAATAAGTAAAATAGGGTTGCGGAGTGCCGTATGGTCAGCAAGTATATACATATGTAAGCATTACCATATCTGCCCCAAAACCGTATTCTCATGATTAAGGCCCTTCAAAACCCTAAGCGTTTGCAGTGCCTGCTTTGGGGGTTGTATCACGGGTCGTGGTTGAGTGTAAATTCTGAGGCTAAACCCCGAAAGCCCGAACCCCAAAGTGTAAGACCATATCCCTCACGTTTTAGGATCGTTTTAGGTGTACAGGCCGCAGCTTTTGGCGCGGTGGAATGTGGTGTACGGCTTAAGCTTTTAAGTTTAGGATTTCGGGGGACTTGCGGAGTTCAACCCCGACAGAAAAGATGCCAGAAGTACAAAGCTTGAACTCTTCAGCCTCATGGTGGGGAGCGGGAGGATTCCCAAGCTTGAAAGCCCTGGCCCTAAAAACCAGGATGCAGTCCCGAACCTGAACTCGAAGCCCTGTTGTGAGGAAGACTCGGGATCAGGGCCCTTCGGCTGCAGGGAAGCGGCGTCTACAGATTGGTATCTCTGGTAGCGATTCTGGTAGGGAGGGCTTTGGGGTGCCGGGGGTGTAAAGCCTGTTGCATCTTTTGTAACTGTGGTGGGCAGGATTCAGCTCGCCTAAAGGTTTGTATTGATCGTCTGGAATTCACAGACAGCTTGACATGCTGTCTTAGTACTAGCAGCAAGCCCGCCGCCGCTATCTGCATAACCACCATAGTCAGCAACAGCAATAGTGCCATCACGAACATGGCGAACAAGACCAACATCATAGTCACCGACAATATCACCATCGGCCTTCTCTGCACCACAACCGCTATCAGCACCATGGCCATCGTCATCGTCATCATCATTACCAACTACTTAAACACAACATCAGCAGCATCATTGGATAAACGCACCTGTTGACCATTGAGAACCTCGTGGCAATGACTGCCATCACGTGAACAGTTTTCCAGACGACGTTCCACCTGCCATGTTGACTTGAAGCACTTGAATTGTCTTGCGTACCCTGCTGTTTGCCACAGTTTACCCTGAAGTGCTAAAGGTCCCAATCCCTAAACGCCTTAAACCGCCTGAAAAGCAACGTGAGAAGATCAGACCTACA